TTCTAAGGCAAATTATAAGCTTGTCAGGCCTTGAATGCATTCCTCATATTTATGCAACTGAGTATTGAAATTTCTCCTGAAGTCCTGCTTTGAAAGAAGGCCTCTCTCTCTGGGTTTCATTCATTTACTGGGTAGGTTTTTGCATTTTCCAACTTTTCCCTACTTTGTATTTTTCAGTTAAGATGTCGAGAGAGGGAAAGGTGAAGGGCAGAAGGCTGAACAAATGCCCTCACAGCCGAGAACCTTATGAAGTGCCACTCACTTCAATGACAAAAGTTAATGAAATGGATCTCTATCGCTGAGTGGGTGACCTATTGAAATAATTGGAAGTCTATTTGCCTGGGAAATAAGATAGGAAAGGTAGAACTGAGAATGGAGAATGGAAGATAAATGGCACCTGGAGCTTTGATCTTTAATGACCTCAACCGTGCAATCTGAAAATGACATGAAATTCACACTGGAAGCAATCGGAGCTTCTCCATTCAGGCAGACAACCCATCAAAAGGTCTGCAGAGGTGATTTGAGAGGCCTTTCTCACAAATCAGGCAAAACATAAGAAGAACGCATGTTCTTCTGACCTTTTCGTAGGTCTCCTAAATGTAAAACCCTCTCTGTATGGGCTGAGGCCATGATTACCCAACAACCAGGTCGCTCAGAAAATTATGAAGGTAGGGACACATAGACACGTTAACAACATATGTAGACTATGCAAAAGAGACAATCAACCAACCCCAAAGAGAAAAAGACTCCATCTCCTCTCCACCAGTAATCAGCACAACATAGTTAATCAACATAGTTAATCAACATAGTTAATCAGCATAGATTAACTCCATGGTCAACTTTAGACCAACAATCAAGAAAGCAATAGCCCAACCAAGAAACTGCCAAAGAGCCATCAGTGAACAGCCCAACCAAAGAATCTCTAAGACTGACCCCACCCACACAGAGAGGCGAGTCACCAGCATATAAACTGACAGCAAAGAGCACTCCTTACTAGCACTGATGATGTTACCTAGCTGGATAATAAAATGTCTGCAAGAAAACAACCAAGCTCAGAGAGTACCAAGGACTCCTCATCTCAGCCCTGGGCTACTAATATTTTCCTTGATTGGTAATTATGTAGTTATCTGAGTAGTATACATGGATATGTAGTTTCAACAAAGGAACAGAGAGAACTGACAAAACCTCTCCGAAAAATTGGAGCTTGTGAAAGTATTGTGAAACCCAAGATGATGACTGCTCAAGACACTTAAGATGCCACGAACGTTAGGAGGTTAGACATTGCCTGGGAAAGAATACCATGGAGTTGGGTGTACTACAAGTCCCGCTTAAAGCTCAGTTGCTGCCTTTGGTATGAGATTTAGTTTCGGTCTATCTTTGGACTGGGGAAAATAGATGGAAAGAAAGAGCAGGGTGTTTTGCAAGGACTTAAGGTGGACAAGTAAAACCACATGTAAACCTGTTCCAGGCTGCAGGAGAAAAGTATGAAGGAGGAAGCATAACTGTGAAAACATATGAATGAAGATCTATCATTTCATCCTGGGACAGGCAGAAAACTAGAATAGCCACAAAGTTAGAATCAAAAGATGGAGAGTAGAATGTACTTTGCTTAAGATATTTCTATGGGTTGTGACAAACAGAAGTCTCTTCCGAGCCACTAACTGCCCTGGGATGAGCTACTTCACCGGATTTTTGCTGCATAGAATGAAGCCCACCAACTGGACCCCTTCTTGATCTCCCCGAAGAAAGATTACAGATGGTGTTAGGGCAGCAGACTGATCACTTGAAGAAAATTGGACCAAACTGAAGCAAGAGAGAATGTTAGAATAGAATAGAATAGAATAGAATAGAATAGAATAGAATAGAACAGAAGAGAATTATTTTAATGGCCAAGTGTGGTTGGACACACAAGGAATTTGTCTTGGTGCAAATGCTCTCAGTGTACATAAAAGAAAAGATACATTCATCAAGAGTCAAGAATCATAAGGTACAACACTTAATGATAGTCATGGGGTACAATAAGGGAGGGAGGGAGGAAGGAAGGAGAGAGGAATGAAGAGAGGGAGGGAGGAATAGAGTAGAGTGGAGTAGAGTGGAGCAGAGTAGAGTAGAGTAGAGTAGAGTAGAGGAGAGTAGAATAGAATAGAATTCTTTATTGGCCAATGTGATTGGACACAAAAGGAATTTGTCTTGTGCAAATGCTCTCCGTGTACGTAAAAGAAAAGATAGATTCGTCAAGAATCAAGAATCATAAGATACAACACTTAATAGTCATAGGGTACAATAAGCAATCAGATCATACTAGGAAACAGTCAATATAAATCGTAAGGATACAAGCGACAAAGTTAGTCATACAATCACAAGTGGGAGGGGATGGGTGATAAAGAGTGATGAGAAGATGAATAGTAATAGTAGTACAGACTTTGTAAATAGTTGGACAGTTTTGAGGGAATTATTTGTTTAGCAGTGTGATGGCATTCGGGAAAAAACTGTCCTTGTGTCTAGTTGTTCTGGTGTGCAGTGGTGAATGTTGGCATATTCAAAAAGACACCGTGCATTTTAAAAAAGATAATGGGTTTTTAAAGATTATTTCATATATTTTTCAGAATTACAAATTTTTAATTCATTCTTTCTTGTTTTTAAACCCCAAGAAGCCTTGTAAGATGTCTACTGTCACTCCAAAATAGGATAAAAGGAGCAATTGCATCTCCATGAAAAAGAGAAAAGCCAAGATGTTTTTCAGTTAACACTTCTTCCTGGAGTAATTTGGGAAGCGTTTAAAAGCTGCCATGGATGGATTTGCAAACCAAGTAAAACCAGACCACTTTCCTACATTTGATTATGTGACACAGCAGGGCTTAAATCTGTTCCATCACTTTAAGGGCCTTATATATTTCAGGGCATTTGTTGGACAAAATTGCTGGTACAGGTCCTGTGGATATGCCTGTGGTACAATCTCGTCCTGTTATCTAGGAAGTTTGATCCTGTTGGACCCAAGGAAGAAGATAGGGTCCTTGTGACTGTGGGCTTGACCCCATGGTCATTAGAATCATAGGCTTCCTGGCTGGTTAAAGTCACCTGGGAAGTGACAATGGTTGGATTCTCAGAGTGGTGAATTCTTCATTAAAGAGGCATTGCTAGACTCCATCATACTGGAGACTTCATTGTCTCCAGTAGATTAGACTCCATCATACTTCTGTTCATTATGGAAGATTGTTGAGTTGGTGGTTCTACATTAGCTTCAGAGGATCCTAGACGAAGGAGGTGCATCTTTCATAAACTAATCAGTGCAATAAGTTATGGGATGACATTTAACAACCTATTTTTAAATATACATTTAAACTGCTGAAACTATAATAAAAACAGGGCTGTCATCTTTTGGGATAGTTCAGATAGGTGGCCATTTATTTTCCAGAGAAGTAGGGAAGATCCTTCTGAGGCACATTCCCAATGCTCATGTCTTTTTTTTTAACTCAATCATTATTTATTAGACCAGTATCTAGGCCTTATATCTTGTGTTTCCCAAGATTAGCATCACAGACCATTAAAATGGGAGAATGCCTTCCATTTTAGAGAACTTAGAATGATCTTGAACTCCATGTTTCCATGGAATCTCCAGGCCCTATGACAAAACTAGGTTTTAAGGACCTTCTAGATCAATAGGTTGGGGCCAATCCCACCTTGGGTGGCATGGTGCTCCAAAGAGTCTGTCAGATGAAGCTGCTTAGCAGATGGGACTTGGCAACATCTCCCCCCTGCCTCATGCCACCTTGAGTTTGGCCTCGTGCTCATTCAAAACCAACTGGAACTAGCCTCAGAGGAACCAGGCACAATACAGAAATACATACTTCTAGCCTCCAAAGCTAGTCCAGGAGGATACCGTAGTCAATGGTATGAAAGGTTGCTGAGAGGTCAAGCAGAGAAAAGATAAAATGCACCATCCCAATCCTATTCCCATCACAAGTCATTCAAACTCATGACAAATGTTTTTTTCTGTTGATACCCGGTCCTCAAATCTGACAGAAAAGGGTCCAGATATTCTAATATAAGATTATGAAGCCAGAACAAAGTTTTGAACTTTTGATTTATATGTTTGGTTCCTTTACCCTTCTTATCCCTGCTGTGATGATTTTATTTTATGGGAGACAGAAATCGTTTTGTGAGAGTAGTTAATATTTCTAACTTGTAAAAAGCAACACTTTGCAATTTTGTAGCCATAGTGTCTAACAACGGACTTTATTGTATTCCCCAAATTCTGCTGTCAACGATACTTTCTCATTTAGTAATTGTTATTCCTGAAAAGGGCTCCAATTACAATTAATTGAAGGATACCCCAGTTGAAAAAAACTGCAATAACTTTTTGATGGTGTGCTTATAAGCATGCAAGCATCACCCTTTAAATCAGTGTTGATTCCTACCAATTGCCTGGACAAGTCTATGCAGTTTTCTTAGCAAGATTTTAAGAAGTGGCCTGGCCTTCCTTTCTTCCTACAGCTGATAATGACTTGGCTGAAGTCACTAGCTGGCTTTGTACCTAAGGCAGGACTAGAATTCACAACCTTCTGGCTTCTAGCCTAATGACTTAATCATCAAACCAAACTGGCTCTTTTTCATGCTTTTGCAACCTGGAAAATGAAATCCTCCTGTGTTGTGTGAACTTAAAGCAAGGTGGCAAGTCTTCTACTGCATATGTAGTTTCTTGTGCCGTTGGGCACGAACAACCTTAAGTTCTTCATAAATCAATGCTTCAGATTATATTTCTGTACCTAAATTTTAAAATGAAAGTAGACTAGAAACTCGCCTGAAAGCCAGTTCCAAATAGGGTAGGTGGTTCAGGGACTTGAAATTGGTCCGACTATCCCACTGGGCAAACTAAATCTGTGGTCACCAATTTTGCACCCATGCCTTCTAACTGTCTGTCATTAAAACACCACTTTTTGTTTAAGGGGGGAAAAAAAAAATTAAGACTGATTCAATAAGTACAGACAGTGTGCAACTGATTAGAGGACATCAGTTTAATGCCTTATTAAAGCTGACGAAACAGTCCCACAATTCAACTGTAATTTTTTTGCAATATCTTATGACTCGATTCTTTCCTCAAAAGTGTACACGAGAATCCAGATATTTAACCGACGATAAGCATATCTTCACTAACGAATTCATGCTCTGGCACCTCCAGATTGAGTGGAGCTGGGCCTTTACGTATTCTGCCAGATGCATCATAATGGGACCCGTGGCAGGGGCAGTAATAACCACCATAATCCCCAGCATCTGAAATTGGTACACAGCCAAGATGGGTGCATATGCCTAGCACTACCAACCACTCCGGTTTCTTCACCCTATCCATATCATGCTGTGGGTCTCTAAGTTCGCTCAAAGGTACTTTAGCTACTTGATCAATCTCGGCCTGGGTTCTGTGACGCACGAACAGGGGTTTTCCCCTCCACTGGAAAACCATATTCCTGCCTTCTGGAATATCGGACAGCTTGATCTCAATCTTAGCCAGCGCCAATACATCAGCAGCAGGATTCATGCTGCCGATGAACATAACGACAGCATTCTTGGCAAAGTATGCAGAGAGCAAATAGGTTGCTCCGTTGAAAAAGTAGGTGAAGGTTTTTCTCTCAGCGCTGCTATCTTGGGAGGATTTTGTGGTGTCTTGTACACTGTTGCGACGATGGTAAGAGAAGTCGGGCACAACCATATCATTATGGACGTAACGAACGCTGGCAGGAGCTGCAAGAAAGGGAAAGCATAATTATGGGATTGTTATTGTAGTAGAATGTGCTGCATTACAAACATTGTATTAGAAAATAGTAACTTTGAAGAAAACCTGCTCCAATACCCCAACATAAAAGCATTTTTTTCCAACAAAAATACACATTTTATACAAAAACTGAATTAGCCCATGGAGGTTTGAATTGTTCACAGGATTCCCTTCCTTTCTACTTGCAATTGCATATAAAATGAATTATCCGCACTGGGAAGCCTATCAAATGACATGTATTTCACATCTGCTTCACATATCAATGAGAGCCAGAAACTTCTGAGAATATTGTGTTTTTTTCTGAAGAAATCCTTAATATTTGAAAGTGATCTGTCAGTCCCATGTGGTAAATTCTGTAACTACAGCTATTTATTAATTTAATTCATACCCAGCCACAATCACAAGCCATAAAGCAGGCATGTCCCACCTGTGGGTTGCATACAGCCTTGGACAGCTAGTAACACAACCTCTTAAGACTGTAATATTTTTCAGTCTTATGGGGCTTTTTATTTTTAAAAATAAAACTGTTAATATTATGTGATTTATATACATTAACTATATTATGTATTTTATATGCAGCTCAAGACGATTCCTTTTTACTCAATAAGGCCCAGGTCAAAAGTACACACATGTCATAAAAGGATTTATAAGCTAAAATCAGCACTTCAAACTGCACTTGAAAGCCAATTGGAAGTCAATATGGGGCCCACAAAATAGATGTAATATGTTCTTAAAATAGTTTATATGAAATTTAACCAAAGTTGGAATGAATTTCAAAGTGGAAGAACCACTTCGTGTACGTTTTATGGAAGAGTCTATGGATACTTATGGCCTATTGTAAAACTTAAATGAACAAATATTTTTTCAAAATTATACTGAAACGGAGTAGCAAGTGCATACCCACTGCCATTTATAGCTTCACTAAAGCTTACGGACATTAGAGAGTTATTAGGTTTAGGACTTCTGGGGAAATCATGTTTCATTTTCTACAAAGTTTACACTAGAAAGCTATCTGAGACAAATGGACAAAGTTCTGCTTTAAAACGTTTGATACGCTTTGTCAATTTAATTTCCATAAGAGCAAAATATCTCAAGTTTCTCCAATACCCCTTAAGTAGTGGACCTAAAATATCTGATTAGACAAAAATCAAAATCAATAAAATGCTTCTGAAATGAATTTGACAAATCTAGAGCTGTAACAGAAAATGTTTTAAGTGTAAACAGTTGGTACTCATGGTTCAATGTTATTGTTTAAAATGTTACTGCTACGGTCCTTTTGAATCAATCCTGCAATTTTCTTAAAAACACTTTGGAAATGGTTTGCCAATTAAGCATCTCTTACTTGCCTACAGAAGTTGTGAATGCTCCAACACTGGAAGTTTTGAAGAAGAGATTGGACCACCATTTGTCTGAAATGGTACAGGGTTTCCTGGGTAAGCAGGGGGTTGGACTAGAAGACCTCCAAGGTCCCTCCCAACTCTTATTATATTACTTATTATGGGAGGGAAAGACATTTAGGAGGCGTCATGTCTAAGGGAGAATTAGAACTTACAGCTTATGAATTATGATTGGGAATTAATTTTCAAATGCTAAACCGTAAGTCCAATATCCAGTTAGGTATACAGGTAATCCTCGATTTACAACAGTTCATTTAGTGACTGTTGAAAGTTTCAATGGCATTGAAAAAAGTGACTTATCTCTGTTTTTCACACTTATGACCACTGCAGCATCCCCATGGTCACATGATCAAAATTCAGCTGCTTGTCAACTAATTCATATTTATGATGGCTGCAGTGTCCCTGGATCATGTGATCCCCTTTTGCAACCTTCTGACATGCAAAGTCAATGGGGAAGTCAGATTCACTTCACAACTATATTACTAACTTAACAACTGCAGTGATTCGCTCAACAATTGTGGCGAGGAAGGTCGTAAAATTGGGCAAAATTCAGTTAACAAATTTCTCACTTAGCAACAGAAATTGTGGCCATAAGTCAAGGACTACCTGTATTTCCAACAAATGCTGTTGGTCTACTGCTATAGGGTTTCAGGATTTAACAACTCTACTGTATATTTGCTACACCTTTAACCTAAGGATGAAAAAAATGGAAAGGCAAATAATTTTACAAGTCAATTTCACAATTGTAGAAGTGTGATTTTGTGCTGGAAAAATAGTGAATTAGAAGCACCTTTCCAAAATAAACTGGGAAAGAAATGGCAGACTGAACCAATGCCCACAGCAGAATGAACAACTAGTAAGTAGACCGGCTCTTTAGTAATTCCTCTCCAGACAAGGAAAGGACTCAAGATCACCCACAAGTGCACCACACAATTGTTCCCTGCGAGGAGACTGCAAGATAGCAGTTTTGCAGCTTTGGGAGATGAGAAAAGACCCATCTTGCTTAAACTATGATTGTTCCCTTTGAAAGGTCACTAAAGCATATTTAAATTTTACCCTAACTTACATTTATTCATACACTGAGAATATTAGAAGTACCAAGTTTTTGCAATTAGAACATGACATCAATATAGTTTTATACTTTTAGTATCCATCCAGTTTATGAATTGAAGTGTTATCTATAATCTCATCTTTTCCTCTACATTAAAAGACAGGCCGCAATAGCACAGAAGTTTTAACAAAAAAATAGTTTTAACAGTCAAGCGTAATTTCCACTTAGGACAATTTGGACAACTATTTGCTAATAGGTGAACTGGAGAGGAGCCTGGACTTTATTATTCAAAGGTGTCATTCCAGGAGACATTTAGCTCAGTGGCCCCCAACCTTTTTTGTGCCACGGCCCTGTACCGGCATCACAAAATGATCCGCGGCCCGGTACCGGCATCAGCACGCATGACAAGGCAAGGTGAGCCGAGCGACCGGCCAGCCAGCCATCCCCCGCTTCTCCCCGCCATCTTCAACTCCTCCTTTGTACCTTTGTCGATGGGCTTCGCTTCGGGACGGCTTTGGGACGGTCGCTCGGCTCGCCTTGCCTTGGGTGCTGAAAGAATCCTCGCACCTTAGTTTCGTTCGAAGCCCCCCCCCCTTCGATGAAACTAAGGCACGAGGATTTCTTCAGGACCCAAACGCTGCTTTCCAACCGGAAAAGCTCACCCGGAAGCACTTTCTCGTCAAACAAGATGGTGGCGCCCAGCAAACTGGCGGCCCGGTAGGAAATGTTCCACGGACCAGTACCGGTCCGCGGCCCGGTGGTTGGGGACCCCTGAATTAGCTGACCAGTGTCACCAAGAGTAATAATGTTTTCTTAATGAAAGCATGTGGATGGGAACATTTTGCACTGGGTGACATTAGAGCCTCAGACATTCAGCATCCCTCATATACATTTAATAAAATAAATCTCTCAAGATCATCTATTATATGGCAATGTGGATCTTTGAATCCCCGTTTGCCCAGCACCAATCAGACAACCTAACCCAACTTCAGCCTCCCGTCTTTCAGCCTTGCTACAACCGTCCCCATTGCTGTCATCAAGTGGAAGATGACTGGAACAAATCCTTATTTATTAAATTTATCACTGCCCATTTCACAGTTCAAGGTGACTCTTACAACAGCTAAGACCAAGAGGAATAAAACACCTAAGGAAAAGCAATTTTATAACACAAGAACTCCTCCTTTTATGGCCTATCTAGACTCCAGTTGTGGATGGGGCGGAATTGAGAACATTGTTCAAAAAACCACAGTAATAACTGTTAAGGACCAAGGAATATTTGCTCCAATTGGGAGATGGGCAGCATATAAATTTATTAAATAATTAAATGTTTAAGACCAGAAATCAGCCTTTCACTTGCCAAAGTGTTCCGGAAACAAAAATTATCCCTGATTTTTTTTTTTAAATGGTGCCTTTGGGTGCATTTCAGAGGGAGGGGAGGAGGGAGGAAAGAAAAGAAAAAAGGGAAGGAATAAAAAAAGGAAGGGAAATGAGGGGAAGGGAAGGGAACGGAGGAAGGAAGGAAGGAAAAAGGGAAGGAATAAAGAAAGGAAGGGAAATGAGAGGAAGGAAGGAAGGAAGGAAGGAAGGTAGGAAGGAAGGAAGGAAGGAAAAAAGGGAATCAATAAAGGAAGGGAAATGAGAGGAAGGAAGGAAGGAAGGAAGGAAGGAAGGAAGGAAGGAAGGAAGGAAGGAAGGAAGGAAGGAAAAAGGGGAGGAATAAAGAAAGGAAGGGAATTGAGAGGAAGGAAGGAAGGAAGCAAGGAAGGAAGCAAGGAAGGAAGGAAGGAAAAGAATAAAGAAAGGAAGGGAACTAAAAGGAAGGAAGGAAAAAGGGAATAAAGAAAGGAAGGGAAATGAGAAGAAGGAAGGAAAAAGGGAGGGAATAAAGAAAGGAAGGGAAATGAGAGGAAGAGGAGGAAAAGAAGAGAAAGGAAAGAAGGGAAAGAGAAAAAAACAGCTCAGATGGGCCACTCAGCCATCCTTCGCCTTATGCCCCCTGGGACACCCTGGGACTACAACTTCCAGCATCCTCAGCGGCGCCCTCCTGCCATGTTTGAGGGACCCCAACCCCCACCCCTCCCGCCCCTTCCCCCGCCCGCACCGTTGAGGGAAGAAGTGACGACCAGGCCTCCCCGGCTCGCCTGGCCGAACAGCGACTCCCGGCACAGCAGAGGCCGCCTCGGATCCAAGGACAGGATCTTCTTGGGCCCCGGCGGGAGCTCCGGCACCAGAGGCTTCTGCGGAGCCGGCACGATGTGCGCGGCCGCCGCCAGATAAGGCGCCAACGGGCCGCAACGGGCTGACAGCGACAACATGGCGGACGCCTTCTCCTCACCGCGGTCACCTTCCGCGGCCGGCGGACGCAGGCGACGCACGCCGAGCGGTGACGGAGGACGCACGCCGCCCGGGGGAAGCCCCACCCACAGCCCTTCTGTTTGGAGCAGCGAGAGTGGGGCGGGGCGGGGGCGGAGCCGAGGGGCGGAGCTAATACCGCCCGTCCCCGCCTTTCGGGCGCCGTGGAAAGTGCGCCTGCGCGAGCTATTGCCCCCCAATAATCACCTGGCAGTCTTTAGCCTATATCAAGGGTCTTCAAACTTGGCAAGTCTAAGACTTGTAGACTTCAACTCCCAGAATTCCTGAGCTAACATGACTAGAGGAGGAATTCTGGGAGTTGAACTCTTAAAGTTGTCCAGTTTGAAGACCCCTGGTCTATATAGATTGAACTGGGAATCAAAAATATCTTTTTTAAAATTGATTTTGGTTCATCATTTTGGTTAGACGTTTTCACGTAGGCACATGTTAAACCCGAGATAATGTCAAGTCTTGTGTGAAATAGGTGAATGGCTTTTACAATAAGTCTCATCAGTAACTAAACAATGACATATTGATAACAATCATGTCAAAGGAATAAATGTTAAGAAATGAAAGTCTGGTAGCAAATGATCGTAACATTTATATTTTGCATAAGTAAATATAAATGTATATGTTGCGTACATTTTCCTCTTGCACACTAGAGGTTCTGTAGGTTTGATGATTAACTGCCATAGATGATCAGTTTTATTTTATTTATGACACTGGAAAATATGTATTCTCCAGCCCATTTTATGCATAAAATAGAATTCTTTATTCTTTATTGGCCAAGTGTGATTGGACACACAAGGAATTTGTTTTCGGTGCATAAGCTCTCAGTGTACATAAAAGATATAAGTGATAAATCATGATCACAATCATCATAAAAATACATTTACCATGAATCATAACATACAACACTTAATGATAGTCATGGGCTACCAAATAAGCAATCGACATAAATCATACTAGGAAACTAAATAAAACGATATAAATCGTAAGATACAATATGTGTCGAAAGTTATGAGATGCAAGCCTGCTAAGTTAAAGATACTTTATTCATGGCGGTTGAGAGCATATCTCCATATACTCTTTTATGACATGGTCATCAGGAGACACGGAGTTCTGTGCCAGAAGTTTCCCAACATTTCCAAATTCTACATTTCACAAGCCATTCAAACTGCAACTAAAATGAATTTAAACACTTGGAGAGAAAGAGAAAGAAAAAACCTCCAGGAAATATAATCAGGGAATCCTATACAAGTAGTCCTCAACGTATAGCCATTCATTTAGTGATCTTTTGAAATTACAAAGGTGCTGAAAAAGGCAATTTAAATCTGCTGCTTGCACTTATGACTATCTCATGTCACATGGTCAAAATTCGGACATTTGGCCCCTGGTTGCTCTTTCCAACAGTTGCCGTATCCTGGAGTGAATGTGGTTGTCATTTGCACTTTTCCCAGCTGGCTTCCAACAAGCACAGACAATAGAGGAAGCCAGATTTGTTTAATGACTGCACAATTCACTTAACAACCACAGTGATTCGCCGCTGGGTGAGATCATCCGTCACCATGGACTGAAGTATCACCAATATTCTGATGATACTTGGCTGTATGTCTCGGCCCGTGATGAGTTAAGTGTTGCTGTGTCCTCCCTCTCGCAGTGCCTGGAGGCTGTTAGGGCTGGATGGGGAGCAACGGGTTGAAACTAAAACCTTTGCAAGACCGAGTGGCTCCGGGTTAGGGGTTCGTTGGCTCAGGGAGAATTACCACCTTTGGTCTTGGATGGAGTAGCACTATCCCAAACAGACCCTGTGCGTAACCTAGGGGTTTTCCTGGACTCGCGACTCCTGTTCAAAGAGTGGGTGGCGGTATTGGCCAGGAGGGCCTTTGCGCAACTGCGGGTTGTACACCAGTTACGCCCTTTCCTGGATCAGCAGTCCCTACTCACAGTCACTCGTGCCCTGGTCACTTCCCATCTTGATTATTGCAATACACTCTACATGGGGCTGCCCTTGAAGAGCATCCGGAAGCTCCAGTTGGTGCAAAATGCAGCGGCCCGCATGGCTTTATGCAGACCCCAGTGTGCACATGTATCACCTCTCCTGCAGGAGCTGCATTGGTTGCCGATTTGCTTCCGGGTGCAATTCAAGGTGCTGGTTGTCACCTTTAAAGCCCTTCATGACTGGGGTCTGGGTTATCTAAGGAAACATCTCTTGCCAGTCATGTCCACCCGACCCATTAGAGCGAGGAGGCAGGGAATGTTGTGGGTCCCACCCCTGAGGGAGATACACCTGGTGGAACCCAGAAGAAGGGCCTTTTCCGTGGTGGCTCCCTCTCTCTGGAACATCATTCCCCCAGAGATTAGAATGGCCCCCTGACTAATACTCTTCCGAAAGGCACTGAAGACCTGGTTCTGCCAGTGGACCTGGGGAACCCAGAGAGCGAGGGAGCCCATCAAATGGCTAGTGTGATCTGCTGTCATCGAGGCGGAGGGTGGGAGTTGGGTTTTTGATTTTTTGCTTTGTTTTTTGTTTTTTTGTTTTCCCAAATTTTGTTCTATTGTACTTTACTAATTTATTTGATTCTTTTTGTTAGTTTTTATTATTTTTATTTTTTGTTTTAAATATGGTTTTACATTGTGTAAGCTGCCTTAAGTTGCCATGGGCAAATAGGCGGCAATATAAATTAAATAAATAAATAAAATAACAACCATGGCAAAAACAGGTTGTAAAATTGGACTAAACCAACTTCTTTAGCAATGAAAATTCTGGTTCCGATTGTGGTTATTTTTTGAAGGACTACCTGTAACTGTTGGATTGGTTACTCATAATTTTTATATAATCACATCTGAAAAACTTGCAAAATGGAGTTTTCAAGGCAAAGAATGGACTACTTCTCTTTTGTTTTCCTATACTGTTGACCTTTTCCCCCAAGTATTCTTGTTCTTCAAAGCAACAGTAATAGAAAAACAGTTGTATTTTGTCTTCCTTCTCTGATCCCTCTAACGCTTAAAAAGCTTCTTTTGAATAAAAGAAAAGGTCAGGGCTAAATCCTCCCAATTTTTCATTTGGAAAAAAGTTGTAAATCATAGATGGGAGTTGTTCAAAACAAGCTGATTCCCAACAGGCTTATCCTGCTGACATTTATTTTCCCTTTCACCATCTTTTGGATTCGGTTTGGTATCAAAAAATATCTCTCTTGAAAAGTATTGGTGCCACCAAAGATTAGAAGAGGCGAATATATTTGCTTCAGTGCTCATTTTGGATGGTATAGTTGTTTCAACACCATCCATGCCAGAGGAGGTATTCAGCTGGTTCTGACCAGTTCTAGAGAATTTCCAGTAGCAGAAATTTGGAGTAGTTCGGAGAACCAGCAAATCCCACCTCTGACTGGTCCTGCCCCCATCTATTTTCTGCCTCCCATTGAGTCCCAGCTGATCGGCTGGGTCTTTTTTGGTTGCCCTGCCCAGGAGAATGGGGCTGGAAAGTAGGTTAGTGGGGTGGGGAAGAAATGGGATTTTGCAGTAACCTTCCCCCATGAGTAGGGTGGGAATGGAGATTTTACAATACCCTTCCCCTGCCACGCCCACAAAGCATGCCCACAAATCCACAGAACCAGTAGTAAAATTTTTTGAATCCCATCACTGATCCATGCGTTATCTCCAAACTTGTCAACTTTAAGACTGTAAAGACCTTCAACTTTAAGACTGCTGGCTGGGGAATTCTGGGAGTTGAAGTCCACAAGTCTTAAAATTGCCAAGTTTGGAGACTCCTGCATTAAATGATTGGATGAACCACCAATTGCTTACTCAGTGGTGTGTACGGTGAGGAGATAGGAAACCAGAGCCTGCACTTGATTCTGCTTTTGGTTTTTGGTTAATGCAAATGGGCAGTTATAATCCCAATGAATTGGCTTGATTGGATTGGAGAATTAACATACATGGCCTTTTTGTTGTTCAGTCACTAAGTCAGGGGTCTTCAAACTTGGCAAGTTTAAGACTTGTGGACTTCAACTCCCAGAATTCCTCCCCCTGTCATGTTAGCTCAGGAATTCTGGGAGTTGAAGTCTACAAGTCTTAAACTTGCCAAGTTTGCAGACCCTTGCACTAAGTCATGCGACTGACTCTTCACATCTTCATGGACCATAGCATGCCAGGCCTCCCTTTCCTCCTCTTGTCTCCCAGAGTCTGCCCAAATTCATGTTTACCACGTCGATAATGCCATCTCATCCTCTTGCTGTCCCCTTCTCCTTTTGCTGTCCACCTTTTCTAATATCAAGATCTTTTCCAATGAGTCCTCTCTTCTCATTTGGTGGCCAAAGTATTTAAACTTCAGCTTCAATACCTGTCCTTCCAAAGGACAGCCAAGGTTGACTCCCTTTAGGATTGATCTCCTTGCAATCACAAAAGATCTTCTTCAGCACCACAATTTGAAAGCATCAATTCTTCAATGCTCAGCCATCACATGTGTGTGTGTGTGTGTGTGTGTGTGTGTGTGTGTGAAGAAACAGACATCCTGCGATCTCCGAAACTTAAAATTACATTCAAGTAATTACATTTTACAAGTATACCTGGAACTCGTATTTTTAGAATAGTTTGTTACACACACACACACACACACACACACACACACATCCTTAGAAAATTTGCTCAAAAAGTTAAATCACTTCAAGGTCCTGATAAGTTAAATTTGACCTTCCCTTTTCCCAAGAAAGTCAGTGAAAGTGCATTTTTCAATTGCTTTGACCTTGGAGCAAAATATTAGGAGAGAGTGTCTGGTGTCATCCAGGAAACTTCATTACAGACAGAAACATCCAAGTCTAACTCTCTGGAGTGATAGTTATTACAGTGAAAGTAGTCCTCAACTTATGACCCCAATTGAGCTCAACATTTCTGTTGCTAAGTGAGACATTTGTTAAGTGAGCTTTGCCCCATTTTACGCTGTTTCTTGCCCCAGGGGGAGTCAGTGAATTACGGCAGTTGTTAAGTTAGCTTGCTACAAGGTCGCAAAATGTGATCACATGATCCCAAGACACTGCAACCGTCATAAATATGAGTCAGTTGCAGTGGTGGGATTCAATTTTTTGTTACTACCGGTTCTATGGGTATGGCTTGGTGGGCGTGGCAGGGGAAGGATACTGTAAAATCTCCAGTCAGAGGTGGTATTTGCCGGTTCTCCAAACTACTCAAAATTTCCGCTACCGGTTCTCCAGAACTGGTCAGAACCTGCTGAATACCACCTCTGGTCAGTTGCCAAGCATCTGGATTTTGATTAGCAACCATAGGGATGCTGCAATGGTTGTGTGAAAAAATGGTCCTAACTCACTTTTTTTCAATGCCATTGTATCTTTGAACAGTCATTAAATGAATTATGGTAAGTTGAAGGCTACCTGTACTAACTAGATTCTACAATCGCCATTCAACAAGAGTTCTGCAGCTTGTAGAATACAGCCAACTCTCATTGCTAAAAATAGTTTGATGCAAGGAACCATCCACCCCATTTTCCTTTAAAAATGGTTCCATGTGTGCTTTTGATAAATAATATTTCCTGCCAGTGCCAATGGCTCATCAAGATAATGCGAGTCAAGACACCAACTTGGATGATAGATATATCACGGATATTACTGAAGGTTAGTACTACGGATTTCATTGGGGAAAGAAGAAATAACTGAGATATCACATAAAAGAGCTTGACAGTTGCTTAAAAAAATGACACAGGGCATCTTCATTCTCAAATGCTACAGCATGATACATAGCAAAGCTATTTCTAGAAAAAGCAAAAAAGCATGCATGCTTGTATTTTCCATTAAATTCTGCAATATAAAAGTGCAAGGTTTTTTTTTAACAGATCTACCGTGGTTGTCAAATGTTGGGTAACAGTATCAGACTGCAAGTGGTTAATTCCAAAACCCCATCTCACTTCTGATTTAGTAAGCCTCATCAAGAAGAAACACAAAGAAGAACCCAAAATGCTGGCAAATCTTCTAGTTTCAATTGAGAAAGTATCTCACCCCAAATTATTGTTGTGAGATTGGTGACCATATAAATTATTTGAACAAAGAAATAAAAAAGGGGGAGAGAGGGATGGACGGTTGGGTAGATGGATAGTTGGATGGGTGATTGGATGGAGGGATAGTTGGATGGATGGAAGGAGGAAGGGAGGGATGGATGGTTGAATGAGTGGATGTACGGTTGGATGGTTGGTTCGTTGGATGAATGGATGGTTGGATGGATGGATGGTTGGTTGCATGGATAGATAGATGGAATGTGTATCTTTCTGGTGATAATACAATCCCTTTTTCACATTGTGTAACAGCTCTGTATTCTTACACTTTTATTGTCTGTTAATTGTTTTCGGATATCCTAGAAGTAAACCTAGCCTTAATTTCGCCAATTTTTCTTTCTTAATCTTCTCTATGCTCCTTTGCTTTTAATAATGGCTTAGTGTGCTGAGATAGGCGTAGGCAATTGTGGTGAGCCAAGGACTACACAGCTTTTTTCTGGTATGTTGTTTGCACACCCACAAAAAATGAGTAGAATCATAGTCATTATAAAAATGATGAAAAAAGTATCCTATATTAGGAAACATGGTATTATAGTAAAATAATAATAATAGATGGTTCCATAGTCAAAAATTGGGTTGCAAACTTATTTTCAAGAGGTCCTTGGTGCTTTCTGATCTTGCTTGTTTTCTTGCAAATGTTTCATTACCCTAACTAGGTAACATCACTAGCACTGATGCACTAGCACTAATGATGTTACCTAGTTAGGTTAATGAAACATCTGCAAGAAAACAAGCAAGCTCAGAGAGCAACAAGGACCCCTCATGTCAGCCCTGAGTTCCAAATATTCTCTTATTTTCAAGCTTTGAAAATCTCCTCCATCTCCATGTCTTTCCTGACTTTTGCTCGAAGTTTTAATTTTTGAGACTTCCCTTTGCAGTTGTCAACAATTAACACATGTTTAGAATTTAACACATTGATATCTTCATTACTTCACAGTCTAAGGCTTTCCAGTGCAGTAGTCTATGATAATTAAATAATATAGACCCCTTGGAGCTGGCCATGCTGCTAATGAACAAATTACTTGGTACACAGGTATGCAGAATATAACACTAATCAATATCCTTGTCTAAAGGCTTCAACTTAGAAATAGTGCAATAAAACGTAAATGAAATGTAGTGGGATTTGGTGGTTTTAATTAAATGGAATGATTAATTGATCATTCAAATTGTATTGATTTACAGCTTCTTCTTTTTTAAAAAATTTTTTCCCTGCAATCTAATTTGTCTAATCCAGGCTTGGATAACTAATGATTTGTACTTTGAATGTACACACACACAGACACAGACACAGACACACACAGACACACACACAGACACACACACACACACACACACACACAGAGAGAGAGAGAGAGAGAGAGGGAGGGAGAGAGAGGGAGAGAGAGGGAGAGAGACTGACTTTCAGCTTCCTAGTACCAATTAGAGCTTTGAAGCAGATTAGACAGAAACGTACAAGGAGCATGCAGGCTACCGTTTTATGAGATTGCATAAAAAATAAAGCAACTTGCTGTACTAGCCGTATTCTTTTGTGTATTTCATTTTTTATCACAGTGCATTGTTACCGATTCAAATGCAGGGCTGAAATGAGGAACACCTGGCATTTATACAGCAGCTAATAAAACACCCACTTTTACAATGGAAGATGAAAATATGAAAGGGATCTTTCTACTGGAGTTTCTCCATCCCCCCAGAATTCACCATCAGGAGAGATGGCAAACACAGTGGATTAGACAAAGGTATGCACAAACGATTACAGGTCATCCTCAACTTACAACAGTTCATTTAGTTCATTCAAAGTTACAATGGCACTGGGGGAAAAAAAGTGGCTTATGAGCATTTTCCCCCAGTGTTGGAAGGAAAAATCCACCTGGTTTGGTTCCAAAGACATTGGGAACAACATGGAGGCTGATTGGAAAGAAAGTTTAATGATGAACTGAACCACACACAAAGACAGCATGCGGTTCTGGGTCAGCTGGACAAATGGTTGAATGAGTGGATGGATCTTTATAGGTTTCTGTGACTTTGAAGTTTGAACTCTTTGGGGGGTTGGGCAATGTGATAAAAATCAACCATTCAGGACAACTGGAGACACTGGTGAACAGTATATAAATGCTTTATTATGAAGCTTTTGCAAAAGGTAATTCTGCCCTTGGGCACAAGACATGGTTCCCAAGAAGGCTGGGGTTTATATACAGGTTCAAATATACAGTCTCTGCCCCTTTCCAGGTTCATTATCTATCCAGGTATGTATCCAGCTACGCAACACCCCTATTATTATTGTATCATAACATCAGTTTCCTTATCCTGTTTACCCATTTTTATTTCCAGTAATCTCCATCATTAACATGACACTGGATAGCCAAATATGTAACTTTTATACAAAACAATAGAGAATTCTTACATAATATTCCAGTAAATTATTTTAGGTTAACACAGAGGTTAAAAATGGCATTACCTTTGCTTTATATTTT